AGAGAGAGAGAGAGAGAGAGAGAGAGAGAGAGAGAGAGAGAGAGAGAGAGAGAGAGAGAGAGAGAGAGAGAGAGAGAGAGATCCAATGGCTGCGGGCCTTGACTTATATATGTAGCTTGTAAACATGTAAAGAAAAAGGGCAAGATCAACAAAATCGTGACAAGACAATGAAGATTACCAATTCGATCCATTGAAAGAGGTAGAGGAAAGCAGCACGCTTAGTTGCTGAAGACCAAACAGTGAACGGTGTAAGAGGACTGTCCAACAGTGAACAGTGTAAGAGGACTGTCTTTCTAGTTGTGGATTCTGTATGGGGTTGGACAGTCAGCGGAATCGGATATTACTGGGGCGAGTTGGGATAGGCTGGGAAATGTTGTGCTGAAAAATGTGATTGTGGTTAACGTGGTTGCCGTTGTCATTGATATCTTCACAGATTTGGTCCTCGGCCACTGGATTTGGACATCATCTTCTATGGCAACCAAAGCATTATGATCGATGCTGGTCATCTTGTGGTTCCTCATCCACGGTGATTTGCCGGTGCCCCCGTTTCCCCATTTCCCCTTTTCCCCACCTCTCCTCGTCTCTCTCTCTTCCTGCTTTCTCCACCCTCTTTTTTCATCTTCCTGATTGGCACTGCTGAATTCAGTGCCTTCTCTTTCTTCTTGTGACCGCCTATCACTGTCGAACATTCATCACACACCTCTCACCTTTACCTTTATTTCCCTGCTGAAATTGGTGCGTTCAGTTAGGTCTGACAGAACTCTGTCTAGCCTTTGAACTGCTCAACTTGAACTGCCACTGAAGGAGATATCGGGGAATGGCTTAAACCACTACCTTCTTCCCCCGAATACAACGTATGGTCATTATAACTGTATTTAGACTGAAAGACACCCCAAATACAACCTGTAATGACCGTACGTTGAATTCGGGGGAAGAAGGTAGTACATCCGAGCCTCTTTTGGCAAGGCTGATTCCCCCTGTGTGCCGAGCTTTGCCGAAGCGCCAGAGCGTTTTTTTTTTTTTTTTTTTTCTTTTTTTCTTTTGGCTGGTGTTGCCATCCGCTTTCGTCCGGTAGCCTCCAAAATTTTCTGATTGGCTGGATTTCGATTCTCGAGCTTGCCTGGGCGATGTACTGGCGGTTCGAGCAGCCTGATCTCCAGCCTCCGGAATGTAAAAGGGAACCTCCCAAATGTCACCCCATAGCCTCGTACATGTGTAGGGAGGCTGGCGACTGACGTCTGTGTAATTTCTGGAGTCCTGGCTTTCTTCTTTAGCAGGGTGGTCTTTCCAATAGAAGATTCTAGGGACTGGTGCAGTGTATAAAGCTGCTTTTTCACCCAGATTCGGCCGGCTACCCCTTCAATACTTCCGGTTGGGCTAATAGACCTAAGGAAAATGACCAAAGTTCAAAACTACCCTTGTCTGTTGTTCCACAACTTTTGGGTGTGCCCTTAAAGATTCAATTTTTGCCTGTTTCTTCAACTCAGGTCGACCAAATTTCAGGTGTGGTCCCAATCTTTCCCCACTACTTGCCCTCGTCCTTACGTGAAAATTTGGAAAATAGTACAAAATACTGAAGGAAAGGGAACTTTCTGTTACTTTCATACAGCAAACACCTTTGCCATTTCTTTTGGCTTTTAGAGTTTAGTCACGTTTTATGGCATTTTTGTCCCTCTATGGTACACAGCCTGGCCAGGGCCCACCTGTGCTGTGTTTGTGCTCAGGAAGCATGACCCTGGTCAGAAATGAGGCCATCCATGTTCTTGCTTTCTTAGCGCCAAAAACATAGGGCCCGTGGACCTGGTCCTTCGGTCTCAGAGGAGACCTAGTCCCGGACACTGCGAGACTCCTACACCTTGCTGGTATGTACATGCATCATGCATGTCCTTTCTCACTCTGTCACTCCTTTCCTCCTCCCGTAGCAACATGCAGACAAGTAAGCAACTGGTAACTAAGGACATCAGCGGTTGCGTAGTGCCCGAGTGCGGGGCATGGGTGGTATGCCAACCCTTTACTTATGCGAGGAACCCTGTTCGTGCGAGTGGTAGGTGCACTGGAAGCGACACACCTATGGGACCTTGTCGACCCCGCTTAGTTCCCGGAGCCATCAGCCGGCAGGGAGACTGCCCCCTGCCCTCCAGCATTCACCCTCGACAGCAACCCACCACCCTTTCTCTTTCCTGCCGTATGTTCCTATTTGCTTTCCACCTGTTCCTCACTGGTCACCAACACCAGGACTGGAGGCCTCTTATTGGGGGCAAATGACCCAATGGCAGACAACTCTGTGAGGAATACATGGCTACTACCATCTCCATTGCCACAAGGAAAAGAAGAACAATAATAATCAAAAAAGGACTGCAAACTCTGCGTCGACATTAACGGGGATGATGGCGACGACAACAACCATGGGGACAACGAAGAAGGAAAGAAAAGAAGAAGAAGATGATGGTGATGATGGTGAAGAAGGTTATGAAGAAAGTTGTGATGCTTGTCTATCATTTTTGGTGACAAATCAAAGATGGGTCTTTTTAACTTTATTGTTTTTTGGTACCCATTGTTGTGTTACAGGCTTTTGGAGCGGTCTTTTGTAGTTGCGCCCATGTTAGACCTGCTGGGGACAGAATCGGGTGGAGCAAGTGGAAACCACTGGTCGAGGCACCCGATTCTGGGAGGTGGGCTGAGTAAGCATTGGCAGCAGATGGGAGGGGAAAGTACAGTTGGGTATGTGATGCCACGTGTTCGACTCCCCAGAATTCTCTGAAAATTTTGGACAATTTCTCGATTCATACATGTCATCCTGCGTAGCACACCGAACATGTTCGGTGCCCCACCGAGCAGCCGAACATGTTCGGACGCTTGGCCGAGCGGGAACCAAACATGTTCGGCCGAGTGCAAATTAGGGGGCTGCCGAACGCGTCCTCGTGAGTGTGTGGTGTGTGTGTGTGTGTGTGTTTGTGCGTGTGTGTGTGTGTGTGTGTGTGTGTGTGTGTGTGTGTGTGTGTGTGTGTGGTGTTCAGGAGTGATGAGCAATGCCCCCCGGGGCCCCCCAACCCCTATATGTAAAAGATATATATATATATATATTGACGATATATATATATTATATGTCACAGCCCCTCGTTTGTTGTCCTCTTCTCTCTCTCTGCCTACGGTTTTACCGGGCAGTTCTGTTTGTGACGATATATATAATATATATATATATATATATATATATATATACCTCTTCTCTCTCTCTGCCTATGGTTTTACCGGTCAGTTCTGTTTGTGACGATATATACTACGACTTCGCTAGCTTCCTGCTACGGTTTTTTCCGGTCAGGTCGAGCGGCAGTGGTCGGGGCC